TGGATGGTTGATGGATGGATGGATGGATGGATGGATGGATGGTTGATGGATGGATGGATGGATGGTTGATGGATGGATGGATGGATGGATGGATGGATGGGTTGATGGATGGTTTATGGATGGATGGATGGTTGATGGATGGATGGATGGATGGATGGGTTGATGGATGGATGGATGGATGGATGATGGATGGATGGGTTGATGGATGGCTGGATGAATGGATGAATATACTAAATTTGAACTCAGATTTTAACAGAATATCAGTGAATTTCAGCTGAAAGTTAAAAATTCAACACAGTTCTGTGAAAACCAGAGACGGATGAAAGTGAATATTTTTGGCACAGATGTAATTTGATCACTTCTGCTTCAGAGCAATGCCTCGTCCCTCTCCATGTTTCCTTCTGACTCTTCTGTCAAAGCTTTTTGTGGCAGAGTCTATTGTTGTTAGTTGACATCTACAGCCACGTCAGTGGAATTTACCAAACTATACAGTAGAGCTTCATAAACTCCCTCAAATCAGAAGAAGTTGATGTTCTCGTGGTTATTTCATATAAATAATTCACGCTTGGTCTTGTTGATTTAATTTTGTTAGTCCCATTTTTAATCAGTTGTAGGCCTGAAAATATATAAATGAATCTAAATTAAGAAATTATTGTTTTTCATTCCGCTCTAATTTTTGAGGTGGTAAACCCAATATTGATGGCTCTTGTTAAGCATTTTAAACATTGTGTTTAAGTGTCGTAATGGTTGAGTTTTAATGGTTTGATGAAGGTGAATGAGTCGATGGTTCAACATGCCTTCGATTCAGCTCGATCCATCTTCATTCACACCTTTCTTCCTTTCTCGAGAATTATTTTATTTTACATTTTAACATTAAATGTACAAAAATCACCAATCTGTTTTTTTCTCTCTCACTGTTATTTTAATAGTTGTGACCGTAACCATGTATTTTTTATTCTTTATAAGTTCAAATCTCTTAAGAAGGAATTTCATACATCCTGTCAACGTTAAGTTGAGCCAAATGCAACGTGTGTCTTGTTATTCTATAATTTTCCAACATTCATCGACATTTTTCATCATGTTTATTCATCAATATTCATGTTACATGTTAGCCTCGAGGAAATAATGCAGCCATTTACAGAATATGAAACCACAGTATGTATTTTAGTTTATTTTTATTGTTTTTTTACATTTTTTTACCAAAATAAACCAGTCATTGTCAGCAGGTGACACATCATGACTGTGTGTGAGGATTGTTCAGGTTATGTAAATAACAGGAAATGTCACATTTTGTCTTTTTCAACTTAAATCAGGTAATTAATTTTCTAAACTTTACCAGGTATTGAATTTCCAAACAGAATCACGCAACCTTTGTGCAGCAAAAATAAACATCCAGCATTAACATTCCTGAAAAAAAAGGTTTAATTAAATCAAGTCAAGTTAAATTATTTTAAAACATAAGCGTGATTTTTAGTAATTATAGGCAATAATGTGTGTTTTTGCAGTGATGATGGACAGGTTGACAAGTGAGGTCAAACATGAGTCTCCACGGATAATTTTTGTATCTGTTCTGAGTACAGAGCAGGTGGAAGAGAGCCTGGAGAGGTTGAGTTATGCTGTGAAGAAAATAATAAAAATAAGAGTAAGAATGGCATAATACGTGTGAATGAGAGTGAGGGAGCTTCAGATTTTGGGGAAAAGTTATAGAGATGACGATGGGATGATTTGGACATGTGCAGAGGAGGGTATTACACAAAGGATGTTGAATATGGAGCTGCCAGGCAGCAGGAAGCCAACCAGAAGGTTCGTATATAAAGAGGCTTGGTATGACAGGGAGGATCCTCGAGGAAGAGGAAGATGATCCGCTGTGGCAGCTCTAAAGGTTTCAGTCAAAAGAAGAATTGGAAAAAGCCGAGCGTTTGTTTAACATTTCAAACTAACCAAGAAATACAGAACTCACTCAAACTTTATTCAGCCTTTATATTTGGAGTCTGGGACATAATCTTCAAATTCCTGACAACGTAAGAAAACGTTGTTTTATGTAACAATGGCTCATTGAATTTACATAAAGATTACCTCGGCAGGAAGAATGTGGAGGGACCAAACATCGTGATTTCTCTGTGTGTGGTTATGTGTAAGCAGCTTGGTTGGATGGGTTCAACTCCGTGCTGCAGGGACACAAAAACACCCTGATGGTCATTTAGAGCTTTCCCTGAAATAGCTTCCCTGCGCTGTTGTTTTGGTGTTTATCTATGATGTGTTTTTAGAGAACGGGAGAGGGAGAAAGTGAAAGAGTCCCTCAGGCTGTTTGATGAGCATGTTTGGAAGCCTCATCTGAATGCACCGACCCAGAAAAAAAAAAAGCTCAAATAGGCCAAAACCAGAACGCTGAATTTCTCCGTATACCAGTAAACATGTGTGCGTGTGTGCAACAGAAACAACTGTAATGTGTGTGTGTGTGGTTGCAACCCTGAATAAATAAATAAATTAATAAAGTTTTAGCACTTATAGAACGGATCTGTTAATAACGGCCACCTTCAAGCTGTTTATGTGACTTCACATTCCCATTACTACACCATTATATGAACATGTGCACTTGGGGGAAGGACTGCGTGTTTCCTAAGCTAATCATGTAGAAAATGCTCTTTATTGTGAACAGGAGGAAGAGTCTGGAAAGCTGGGGCGGGGGGGGGGGGGGGGGGGGGACTTGTATATTCTCCTTGTAAACAAAGAAGATGGAGAAATTTACAGTTGAGGGTGAGAAGGTGATAAAAAATGGTGTTAAAACAGTAGTGAAGGATGGAGGGAAGATGGTGATAATCTATCCACTTTTCTCTTTATTTATTTAAAGTTCTTGAGATCCATCCATCCATCCATTCATCCATCCATACATCCATCCATACATCCATCCATACATCCATCGTAATTAATTCCTAATATCTGACAATCCAAATCCATTAAAGTTCGAGTAAAGGGTCACAAACAGAATATTATTCTGATGATCAGCTGCTAACCGGCTGCTTGTACTAACCAGCTACAAGTACTTGGGTGTACATATGAAAGAAAACCTCAGCTGGAGCAACAACACCACCAGCCTGATCAAGAAAGCTCATCAGAGACTCTACTTCCTCAGGCGGCTGAGACGAGCTGGTCTGGGAAGCTCAGTCCTCACCTCCTTCTACAGGTGTGCAGTGGAGAGCATCCTGTGCTCCAACATCAATGTGTGGCATGGAGGCTGCACAGCTGCAGAAAGAAAAGCTTTGCAGAGAGTGGTGAAGGCTGCACAGAAGTCTGTTGGAGTCAGCCTCCCCACCATCACAGACATCTACACCTCCAGAGGCAGGAAGAGGACCACCTGCATCATGAAGGACACCACTCACCCAGCACACACACTTTTTTGCCCCATTTCCCTCAGACAGAAGTTTGAGGAGCATTAAGTGTAGAACCTCTAGACTGAGGAACAGCTTCTACCCTTATAAATCCCTTATTAGAATTATCACTGTGAAAAGAAAAAAAAATACTATAATGCTTCTTGATTGTTGATATGTGCTGCTGATTATCCATGCAGCTCTGATTTATTTCACGCTGCTGTGTTCATTCGTACTCATCTGCTCACACAGACTCATGCTCGCGCTGCTGTTGGGCGTATTGTTTGCTTAGAGTATTCTTAGTTTAGCGTATTTCTTAGTTCATATCTTAGATCTTGTCTTTTCTTTACAATTTATACTTTTGTTGGATAACTGGGACCCTGTGTACACAATTTTGTTCCACCACATGTACCACATGTGGTGTGAATGACAAATAAAGAGACTTTGACAGATAACAGACCTGTGATTTATCAGATCGAGCTTATTTTTTAAACTTTTGAACAACTGTACAAGTTCAAACAGTGACTCTGACATTATAGTAGGAATTTAGGCACCTTGTAAATTGATTCATCTAGCAGAGGGCTGTGATGCAGTTCTAGTAGATCGATTATTGATGCATCAATAATCACACCCCAAACTAGAGTAAAGCCCACAGAACCTAACAGACCTAAAAAAAAAAACTAAATGTTGTGTCTACGCTGCAGTATAAAGCAACTTTCCTTAAAAAAATAATAATAATTTAAACTAAATGAACATTAAAGGAATCAAAATGTGAAATACAGTGACTAAAGACTGTGTGGCTAATGGACGTCTGTCATGCAACACATGTTCGGATTACGTTATTTATTTTTTTCAGCATTTCCACAACTTTGTTTTGGTCCCGTTGTAGATGGTCGGAAAGACCGTTATCTTTTAACAATCATCTTTTTCTGGTGGCTCCACGCAGGCTGGAAAAATGAAGCCCTTTACAAATAAAGGTGTAGCAACCTTTTCTGTGCATCCTTACTATTACTTTTCACCCGTGAAACCCAAAGACGTATGAAGTGGTTTTAACTTTTTTTGTTGTTGTTGTTGAGTTAGACAGGTTCAGGATCTAAAAAGACAAACTTTGATCGGGAGCTGAAATGGGTAAAAAAAAAAACTGAGAGGAAACTGTTAATAATATAGTAAAAAAAAAAGTATTGGGAGAATTTCCAGGTTCATTGCTTTGGTGTGTTTCGATCATGTTTGGTGGGACAGCATCAGCATGTTTATTAAAATGTGTGAGTGGAGACAAATTAAAGAACAGATACAGATTGGGTGCTGAACAAATGAGAAACCCTCCATTGTTTTACTCCCTCCTCTGATTGTCTTTTTCTGCTCTTTGCCGTTTGAAAAGTGTTGTCTGTTTCATTAGTGAAGCAATTAAAAAGGGAACCCCCCCATGGATCTTCATCCTGATTTCACAATGTTATTTCTGAATTAAAGTTGGCGCAGAGTTTTTAATTCATTCTTTTTTTTATCAGATTATTTAATCCCAACAGAAACAGTTTTATGAGACGAGCTGCAGCAGAGACCTGAACGTTCAGTCGTTCTTCTGATTTTATTAGTTTAGTTGTGCTCTTCTGGCTCTCGGTTCACATTTCACAGTAATAAAACACAAGAGAGACACAAGAGGGACGCTGGATCGCAGCTGCAGATGAAGCGTCCGTAATTTGATTCTGCACATTTGGGACAGATTTATGACTTTTCTGTTTGCTAATAATTTGGGATTATGGTTTTTTTTTTTTCCGCTTTTAAACCAAAAATTGAGAAACTCCCTTGAGAACATTTGAATTGTGCATTATTGCACAACCTAATTATTTTTTTCAGGCAGAGAAACTGAAAAACAAACTTGTGAAAGGATCCGTCTGCATCGGTGTTTAAGATTATTGTGTCTGTGAAACTGCATGAAACAATCTGTCTTCTTGAAGCGCCGTGTGGCTTCACAGAAGCATTGAGAACGTGTTTTGTTGCAGCTTCTCCATGCTCCTCTGTCTCTGAACTCGAGCTCAGTTCTGCCATAACTCGCCTCGTTACGGCCTTAATGGGCCAATCAGCAGCAAGCAGGCTAAAAGTTCTTCACAGTTTTTTTTATTCCTTTGACTTTATTTCTCTTTTATTTCTTTGCTTGACTGATTCCCTTCAGCCACGATTTATGAGAGGATCGATCACTGACTGTTAATACGACGGCGGCTGTACACTGTTCATGTCTGGATGATGATGATGTGATTGATGGACTGCATCCAGATGTTTGCCAAGAATGAGCTTACAGAAGTGTGCAATAATAATGAAAATATGAGCTGCTTCTGTAAACATGCGATGCTTGGTAAGGATTAAAGAGAAATTGAAAGTAACTCGGAAATAAATTACTTGTAATTACATGAAAAAATAATAATTGAGATTTAGGTAGTTAATAGTCAAAAGATGCATTTCAGCTGTATATCTTTAACTTAGATGATTTAGTCTCAGATGGACAGTGATAATGCCTGATAACATTTCTATACTTTCGTACATTTTATTGTGTTCTTATTTCATTCTGTGCCTGGTGTTTTATTTTTTTTATTTGCTTTAGCAAAAAATGCCAATTTTTTAAATCAAGGGACAAACAAAGAGTTATTCTACTTTCCATTGTTTGTGGAAATTAAAGCAATCTGACTGATTTTTTTTTTTTTTTTTAAATGGGGGTTCTGTGGAAAAGTTATGAACAACTAATATCTTACCTATTGTGGATATTGTTTTGAACAACCTCAATTTAAAGAAACTCCATCTGATTTCATAACTTGTGAGGTAAAAGCTCATTTGAGCAGGGCAAAGTGGACTTGCTGCCACCTTAAAAAAGCTCCACACTCAAATATTTCATTGCGGTTTATAAAACAATAAATTTTAAACCTTTACATCACAGTCAATTTCACAAAAAAAGTATGTTTTTTAATTTAAAATTGAAATGCAAGAGCAAATAGTGATTACAGCAGCTAGCTGGGGCACTTTGAGATGAATATTACCTTTCTGTTGTAAAAACTTCGATACAAAACTGATGGTGTTGTAAAAAGTTTATAAAATAATGTTCACACAAGTCTTTTCAAGTTTTGATATTCTTGTTGTTTTATGGCAGCAATCTCCTTTGGTCTTGGTTCATCTCAGACTAGCTGTTTGTTCGTCAGAACGAAACTTTCTTTATCCAAACTGAGGTTGTCTAAAGAGCTATCTACAACAGGTAAGATACTAACTGTTCACAAGCTTTCCACAGAGTCCCACTTCAAAAAAATCTGAACAATCCCTTTAGCAGGAAGCGCAAATACAAGTTCTTCCTTTAACTATTCACCATTTTCATTTATGTCACCAAACAAGTTCGACGTTTGTTCAACGAGAGCAAACAATAAATTCAGAAATCACAATCAGCTGAAAATATGAATTTAGTTTTATTTTATGTAAAACTCATTGATTTAGATCCGTGGCTCTAAATAATAATAAAAAAAAACTGGTGATATTCTGCATTATATAGTTGTTTTTTAATATGAATGGGTGCCTTTATAAAATATGAACAGAGTAAGTTAAAGCGGATCCAGAGTTGAGTCGGGCCAACAAACACATCATCCTGATCACCCGACGTCCTTAAACTCTCTCCTCACGGCTCTGCCACTCTGTGTGTTACAGTCAGCAGATATTAATGCAGACGTCAGCACCGTTTATTTATTCATGATTTATCAGAACCTCTGGAACAACGCCTTATTGTTCTTTTTTTTACACCAATCACACGTTTCCAGAGGAAAACAGTAAAATCAAGCTCATCCTGCCACAGTCTCACCAGATTAGCAGATGACAATCAGGGCGTTGCTTTTTTTTTTTTTTTAATTCAGCAAGTCGTTCCTAATCTGACTGCAGGTAGATGTGCGAAAGGTTGGACGAACATTAAAGTCACTTTTCGGGATTAAAACTCAGCGTTGGAGCTTTCCCAAGAGTATGAAAGGTTCAAGCCAAAATAAAAGTGATGTTAAGGTATTATATATTTTTTTTCCTTTTGGCTGCTCTCTTCTTCAGGAGTCACCACAGTGAACTAAGTCGCACAAAAGACTTGGTAATTGTTTTTACGCTGGATGCCCTTCCTGATGCAACCAGACCACCGAGCTACCACAGCCCTCTGAGTGGAGCAGAGGGTCATCTAGGATGCCCGGGGGAGCAGATGGTGGGGGTTAAGGGCCTTGCTCAAGGGCCCAGAGTGGGGCAAATGAGGGTGGAGGCAGGTGTGGGTGCCACATTTTGATTTTGTCGGTACAGGAAGTTGAATCGACGACCTTCTGATCATAGGCTCACTTTCTCTGACCTCTGTGCCACCACTCCCCTTATTAAAAAAATGATATAAAGTTAGTTATTAGTTTATAGCAACTTAGTTACTGGTAAAACAGTCTCAGAATGTCCTTATACTATTATTTTTAAATCAGCTACATTTTCAAACTAGCTCTTGTTCCTTAACAGACTGATGATATATTTTGTAGTTTATGTCCCAAAGCATCCTTGAGTCTCACTAATTGAATTTAAATAATAATAGACACTATTATTTTGTACGTTACTCGGATAGTTGCTGACTTTGTGTTGAAGATGCGCTAAAATCAATAAGAACAGAACAAACGCTACTTTACTTTCTGCTCCTTTCATCCAGAATCGTTGCAGGGCGAGCACCAGAGGCGACTGTACAAGGAGCTGCTGGCTAACTACAATCGATTAGAGAGACCCGTGGTTAACGATTCAGCTGCCATCCTGGTGGAGCTGGGCCTCACGCTGCTGCAGATTATAGACGTGGTGAGGAAGCTGGATTATATTCTGTGTGTGTGAGGCACGCCTGGAAGTTGTTAAGAGAAGAAGGAGTAACCTGGAGTGGATCTGTAACAATGTTTTGTCTTGAAATTGGGAAAATATAACCTGCTGTGCATTTATACCAGTTTAGAAGAACTTGTAGGTGGTAGCTCTCTGGGCTGTGACTACAGTAGTTGGTAGACGACATTCATGTGGGAGTTTCCAAAATGTCCTACAATATTCACAAAGGTTCTCCGCCACAGGACTCATAGTGATGCTGCTGAGTTTTCAATGGGTTCAAAAATTTGAGCAACAGATTTGCTTTAAAAATAGTTCCAAAGATGCAGAGGGGCCCACCAGCCTCTCACTAGCCATACATTTTCTCAAACCCACCAGAAATGTGTTGGTGAATCCTAATTGTCAGTAAATATCCATATTAATCAGCAGGTCACAGGTTATGTGTAGGCTAATGTTGATTAGCTGTTGTGGCCATCTTGAAATGGTCATCAAAGTTCATGATCAATAATCCATGTAAAAAAAATCCAACAAAGTTAAATCAGATCATCTTGACAATTTTTTTGTTGTTGTTGTTGTTAAAACGTTATAAATCCTTCATTCAAAAGATTTCTTCAGTCTGAGGAGACACAACAAACTCTGTCCCACAAGCAGCACACTCGCATAGTGGACCAACCAGTTTGATGGTGCTATGATGGTTTCTGGAGTCCGCCTTCTCCCCTGTCGACTCCTCTGAGGCAGCCATGGCCACAGTGGTTCAAAACTTCAAAGTTCATGCGCAATAATCCAGGTACAAAATCCAACAAAGTTCAGTCAGGTCCTCAGGATGTTTTCGTTCTTTATTTTTTATTTTCTCCAGAAACCATCTTATCGCCATCAAACTGGTTGTGGGACTAAGTTTGTTGCGGCTCCTCGGACTGAGGAAGTCCTTTGGATGAAGGACTTAACATTTAAAAAAAAAAAAAAAGAAAGAAAAATCAGAAACTGTCCAGATAACCTTACTTAAAGTTTGTTTTACTTTGTTGCATCTTGAAATGGGTTGACATCAAAATCTCAGTTAAAGATAAATAATCAATGGTTTTATTAAAACTTATCCACGGATATATGGAATATTTTGCTAACAGACCAACAGCATCGACTGTAGTAGTTACATGAGCCGTTAGTGTTTAGAGTTTGTGTTGTTGATGAATCTCACCTACTTTCACTCTAAGTTTCACTTTAATATCTGTAAAACTGGCTAAATTTGAGCTACTTTGTGTTTGTCAAGGTGGTGATAATGACACACTCTGGATAACGTGCCTATTTGGAGAATGTTTGATGGAGCTGCATTGCTTGTTCTCTTTCTTTTTTTTATTTTAAGTAGCAGAATGACATTTTACAGCTCATCAGCAGAGATGATGCCCTCATGGGACTCTCAGTAGTTTTGTTCTATTAAAGGACTGGTAAATGGTCCTACTGTGAAGCTTATAAACAGCTACGCTCACTGACACTGAGCCAGCTCTGAGCACGTTCACTTAACCTGGAAATTAAAAGCAGGACAACTCTGTCCTGATGATAACACTGTCCTTTTGCTGCTAATGAAATATGAGTTTGGTTGTCTTCTACTTTTTTCCGTTTGTGCACAGGATGAGAAAAACCAGGTGCTAATGACCAACGCCTGGCTGCAGCTGGTGAGTCAAACTTTGTGACGAACACATTATCACCAACCAAATGTGCTTTAATTAAGATTTTATGACACAATTATCTTGTAAGGGCTGTTTTGGACAGTGTTCCTCAAATGAGCAACGTGCCGTGCATGCTGATGAACTGTGACATGTCCAGATAAAGTTAATCATTTTTGCAGCCATCTTAAAAGTAATTTTTTCACCTCTCAGGACGAAGGTTGCAGGACCTGGCCTGGGGCCGTCCTTTTTTCATGTGTGTATGTGGGTTTTGTTCGATTACACCGATTTCCTCCTACAGACCAAAAACATGCATGTTAGGCTAATTGGTAACTCAATTGTCCCCGGGTGTGAGTGAGAGAGTGAATGGTTGTCTTGTATTTGTCTGACCCTGTGGAGAAAACCAGAGAAAACCCACATATGTACAGGAAGAACATGCAAACGCCACACAAAAAGGCCAGGAGGCGAATCTGCACCTTTGAGGCAACAGCTCAAAAACACGGATCTGATTGTATGTGGCCCTAAAAATGCTGATCACCATCATGAAGCAAACAAATACATAGAATGTGTTATGGTTATAAATGTATTTCCAGAAAAGGCCTTTTCTCCATCCCTAATATTTTTAATTTGATTTAGAAAACCAGTAAAAATATTTACTTCTTCGAAAAATACATTGAAATGTTTGATTTACAGAACGTGACTCTTGAACTTGATTTTGTCCTTCACATACAGTGGCTCTTTTTTTTTTCTCCACTGAATACATGTCATCTAAACCAAAAATGTGATGTGATTATTATTTATTTATTTATTTATTTATTTATTTATTTATTTATTTATTTATTTTGTCTCAGCACTGGACTGATGTCTACCTAAGCTGGAATCCAGAAAACTACCCTGGAGTCCAGAACCTGCGTTTCCCCTCAGACCAGATCTGGACCCCTGACATCCTCCTGTACAACAGGTCAGAACGGCTGTCTTTGCAAAACGATAAATTTATACTGAACAAAAATATAAACGCAACACTTTTCACACCCAGTTTTCATGAGCTGAACTCAAAGATCTAAGACTTCCTACGTACACTAAACGCCTTTTGCTCTGAAATGTTGTTCTCAAATTTGTGTAAATCTGTGTTAGTGAGCACGTCTTTGCTGAGATGATCCATCCACCTCACAGGCGTGGCATATCAAGATGCTGATTAGACAGCACGAATTGAATAGGTGTGCCTTAGGCTGACCACAATAAAAGGCCACCCTAAAATGTGCAGTTTGATCACACAGTACAATGCCACAGTAAGTTTTAAGGAAGAAAATTGATTAGCTTCATCTGTGTTTTATGAACGATTAGTGGAAGCTCAAAGACGGACTGGTCTGTGTGGCCATTTTGCAGAACTGTCTTGTGGATGAGCCTTAAAACGTCAGCCTGAAACGCGGCAGGTGCACATTCCTTCAAGGACTGCCAAACCTTTAAACTGAGTCAGCAGTTCCACCGAAACACTCCTGAACACGCAGACTAAACAGAGCTTTAAGACTATTAATCCAAATTTTAAAAGCTTTTAGACTGGTAAGGATTACAAACCATAATCTCTGAGCTCACGTCCCTCTTTTAACCCCACCCACACCCATTTTTACCCTCCTCCTTCACTTCATCCCCACCTTCTCTCTTTCAATCTATTTTTATCTCCCTCCACCTCTCTTTAATACCTCACCATCTCACTATAATTCACTCTCTTCACCGCCCATATTTTATTGTTCCTGCCTGTCACTAGCTCATCTTCATAAATGATTCCATCTAACCCGAGTCTTTCACAGTTTCAGCGTTTTACTGTCCTCTCACAATCCACCTGTCCTGTTTCTCATCTGGCTTTTCAGCGACCTGTTCAAACATATGTTGATATTAATTTTTTTTTTTTTTCTCCTAAAAACAGTTTTTCTTTGTCTTTGTAATGAAGCAGAAATATTCAGCTGTACAACAAGCATGGAATGAAGGTTGGCTGCAAACACTTACTGATGGATGTGGAAGTTAGTGTGCCCAAAATTAAATATCAGATTGTGTAAAGATATAAACAGTTTTATATTCTGACATGAGGCATGGCAGAACTGTGGTTAGTGCTGTCGCCTCACTGCAAGAAGGTCGTAGGGTCCCCTCCTGGCCTTCCTTTCTTTGGAAAGGAAGAAGACGGTAAAAGAAAAGGGATGGATAGCAAAACATTTAGAACCATGTATTTTTTAAATAAATAAATACAACTTTTTTTTTTTCTTTAATCCATCCATTTATTTGGGGACTGCCTAGTAAGGCAGCCACCTATTATTATCCACCTGACAAGGGTTTCTTAACTTTATATCTTACTCTTCCATCAACTTGAATGCAGCCGGAACTGCAACATGTACTCCCACAAATCTTATTTCAAAATGACCAGCTCGGCACCGTGATGTGTGCTATTATTTTTATTGGTGTATTGAGTTACCATGGGTGACGTAATTTGTAAACAAAGATGCCATTTTTATTAGTAATTTTTCATAGACTCTGGTTGCAAATCAAATAACCAAGATGGCCACCTGAGCTAAAAAGGAAAAATACTGTAAATTAGCCATTTTTAGAGATATTAAGCTGAAATTTGGCGTGTTGGTAGCTGAGACCAATGCCCAATAAATATTGAATTAAAATAATTCAAGATGTCCACCAAAGCTAAACTGAAATGGCTTTAAATCAGTTAGTTTTACACATAGAGCTGAAATTTGGTGAGGTTATAGCTGAGGACCTTCCTCATCACATACTGAATCCAAATCAAAAATCCAAGACGGCCACCATAGCTTAAAAGAAAAATGACTTTAACTCATTGATATTTTGCCTTTTAAGCTGAAATTTGGTATGAGCCAACCCTAACACATAAAACTGTCCAATCAAATTTTTAAAATGACTGCCATGTGGCAGTCCCTGTCAGTTTCTCCAGGAACTTTCTAGTTTATTCCTTTTATGTGTCACTAAGCAACACTCTCCAGTGACTACTCAAGGTGGTCCTTGGTCAGAGAGAATATATAATCCTTCTCACAACATCTGGATCTGCCCCAGGGTCTCTTCCCAGTAGGACGTGCCAAGAAAACCTCCAAAAAGATTCACCCATGAAGAATCCTAAGGCTGAGCCCAGCCAGCCTACAGAGGAAGCTCATTTCAGCTGCTCACATCTTGGTCTTTCAGTCGTGATCTGCATCTCATGACAATGAGGTTGAAATTTAGATGGACCAGAACATCAAGAGCTTTGATTTTTGGCTCAACTAACTTCTTCTTTATCACACCAGATTAAAGCAAAATCCTTATTACTGCCAACATGACCTGGGATCCCTTGATCTTTCTCCTGTTCCATTCTTCCATCAGTCATGAACAAGACTCCCAGACACTCAAACTTTTCCACTTGAAGCAGAAACTTGCTCCTGCTGGATCATTTTGCCCTTTTCTCATCTCAGCTGCTTTAGACTCAGCTGCAAATCACTCAAGTGCACTTTGAAGGTCATGAACTAAAATGGTCGACAGAAAGAGCTACATCATCTGCAAACAGCAGAGCTGAAACCCTGACGTTCCCAAATCAGGCAACGCTCCTCAACCGAGTTTCATTTTCATTGATGGCATCTGCCTTTTGTAGCTTTTCTGCAATAACTAAAATAAATGTTTGTTTTTGCTTGCTATATGTGTGTGTGTGTGTGTGTGTGTGTGTGTGTGTGTGTGTTTGTGTGTATCAAGTCAGCAGAAGTGGGAGTGCATGCGTTCATACAGGTATAAAAATGTAAAACAGTCATGTAAGCTGCTGACGTCCTCTTTGTATCGGAGGCCAACGGTCTCATAGATAATCGATGAGGCACGTGAAGGACATTCAAGTAAAAAACACTAAATGTGTCAGCAGGTCAGGTACAGATGTGACTCCAGCTGGCTTTTCAGACGAGCCATAAACATGAAGAAGAAACTATTGGAATGAATGGATGTACATTTTGATTAGAGTCTCTAATTTGAAGCTTTGACAGAGATTGATGTGCACTTTTAACACATCAAGTAAGAGATATATTACACGATGGTGTCAAATATTGTCCAATAACATCTAAAAGCTGAATGCAAATGTTGCCAAAACATTAAAAAAATCGACATTAAATAATAGCTTTTGGTTATTAAAATAAAAAGCAATAACGATCTTGACGAGGCTCTACAATAGAATGAAAGAACTTTATCTAACGCACCATTATTTGCACATTTTCTCTTTCCTTTTTCCTTCCATCTTGTCCATCCTGTTAGATATGTGCACATCTACTCAGCCGTATTAAATAAATCAGAAATACTGTATGTTGTTCATCTCTTATGCAGTTTTCTTGTGCAGCGTGTCGACTTTGGAGCCTTGAGGCTGTCAGGCGGAAAGCTTCACACCAGGGTCCTCTGAGGCGATTTAGTTTGGGAGAAGCGACATAAAAGCCTTCAGTCTGAGGCCATGACCTTCAGTTGCTCTTGACTTTGAACAAATAAAAGCTGCAGGAAAAATCCAGAGAGTTCACTTGAACTTTTTTTTTAACTCCTTTCTGAACAAAAACAGAAAAACACTGAAAACATTTAACATGACAAAAACAATACTAACAGCACTGGGTTTTTCTTATGAGTGTCATTTAATGAGCAGCATCAATCCAAATATGTGGGGGGGGGGGGGGGGGTGTTGAGGAGAGCAGCATGTGTTGAATGAGTGAGAGGAAAGCTCGGTGACTCATGTCCCATGGTGCATGAACCCCTCACTGCCACCATTGTCACTGAGCCTCGGCCTCTGGTTCCCTCTTGCTTCACTTTGACGTTTCCACAGTGCTCTTTCTGCACTCTGTGCATGCGTGTGTGCGCACGTGCATGAGAGAGAGAGAGAGAGAGCTCCCGCTCTCTCAGGGATATCACTTGTCCATTTGCATTTTTAACATTTGAGATGTGTACATTTCCTAAACCACATTATGTACTTTGTATTTTCTTTCTCTCCTGTCATCGTTGACCGGCTGCACACTGTACCTGTAACTAAACTGTGTCCAACCAGTGCCTTTAGGTGGAAAATAAAAAAATTAATAACTATGCACTGAATTAACAAAGTTTCCAGATTTGATTTGGCATCACACACTCACCTCAGGAACTACTTTACTCAGAGGTATGTGTTGGTACTAATTTCAGGGTAGAACACACATTCAGATAAAATAAAGAACTCAGTTATTGTTTTACCCTGATTTTATAAATAAAAATAGACAAAGTGACTCTGTTAAAGTCCATTAATTGTCCAAAACTACAGCAAATTGTATTTTTAATGCTATAATGTATTTTTTGTACATTTTGTATTTTCTGAGCTTTTTCAGACTTTTATTTTGTTCTGATCATAATGAATTCTAATAGTTTGTTTATATTTAAACTGCATACATATTCAGATTGCAGTCAAGTTTTCTTTAAAACAACAACAAAAACAAAAATAAAAAATGAGTAACCAAAAGTGATAAATTTTAAACAGGTAGAAATCCAACAATGTTCAGTCAGGTCGTCTAAACGTTTTTTTTTTTTTTTTTTTTGGCTGAGACGTTTCGTCCTTCATCCAAAGGACTTCTTCAAGGTTTTGAACCACTTTGGCATGACTGTCTCAGAGGAGTTGATGGGGAAGAGGGCGGGCCCCGGGGGCCATCTTATCACCAGCAAACTGTTTTGTTTTTTTTTCTACTATGGAGTATGCTGTTTGTGGGAATCAGTTTTGTTTGGTGGCTCCTCAGATTGAAGAAGTCCTTTGGATGAAAGGACGAACCGTCTCAGCAAAAAAGAAACTGTCTAGATGACCTGACTGAACATTGTTGGAGTAAAAAAATAAATGTTATTTGTCTCTTGCTACCTGATGCAAATGTTCTTTCATGCAGATTTTGGGGAAAAATCGTCTGTTTTTAAAATGTTGTCTGAATTAGATGCACTAAAACAAAATAAAAAAGCAAAATTTGCAAATTAGTAAATGGGGCCAAAGTTATAATTTAGTTTAAGACTTTCTCTCTTCTCAACATGCTTAAAAAGCGATTAAAAACAGAGATGTACATTCTTCCAGCTTCTCACTTCAACGTAGCAATGTACTTTTTATTATCATAGCTGTGGTTTTGTCCTCTAATTTCTCAGAGGTCATATGCTGCCTCTGGCGCGATGACGTTTACACGCTCACTATGAACAGAACAACAACTTATTAAAACTTAACAGAAGGCCGAGATCAGAGTTTCGGTTCAGGCAGTTTTCCGATGTGACCATCTAATCTTTGTTTATGGTTTATTTGTTTTTCACTGGTGTTTGTGAGTTTGACAAGTTAAATCAAGCATATATAAGTTTTGTTGTACGCTCGGGTGACTACTTTTGGGACTAATTTATCTCAATATAATCATAACTAAACCTATTCAAAGCTACTCTTAGAGTGATCTTCCTGAGCTGCGAAGCTGCCCCCGTTGTGTCACAAAAAGAGGAAATTGGAAATAACCTTAGTCTGTCCACTGGATGTTGTGAGCACAATAACTTGAAAAATAAGTACAGACTTCCATTTTGGTGTGTAGCTGCATCTAGATGTAAGAAAGTTTCCTTTTGAAAATTAGGTAGCTAGGTCAAAATCAAAGATGTAAACCAGCCACCACTATTACATGAGGAAACAATGCGTTCTAGTTTTTATTTTGCTTAAAATGATAGTTTACTCAAATGATTGGGGTGGCCTAAGATTAATCTATGACAGCCAAGGCCACATTTGGCCACCCCCTGGCTTCACCATTGCACATGGTGGTGGATACATTGCTCCCTCAGCTCACCAGGATCAATCACTCTGCGCCGCCTCGGACAAGAAAAATAAACCACTGATACACAATGTAACATTTGATTAACATGCACCAAAAAACAAACAAACACTATTCTAATCCTTTAGTGATGATGAACATTGACGTACCGCTTGTAAAAATTAGGTATAGGTGTGTTTTTTAATGCAGAAATGACAGAATTTTCATAACACAGCATCTTGTCTGACTAGTTAACTGGATCTCTGTTTTTCTGTTTTGTAGCGCTGATGAGCGGTTCGACGCCACTTTTCACACCAACGTCCTCGTAAACGCGTCAGGTTACTGTCAGTACATCCCCCCTGGTATCCTGAAGAGCACCTGCTACATCGATGTGCGCTGGTTCCCCTTCGACGTGCAAAAGTGTGACCTGAAGTTTGGCTCATGGACGCACAACGGCTGGCTTTTGGACCTCCAAATGATCGATGTGGACACATCCACGTACATCCCCAATGGAGAGTGGGACCTAGTGGGTAAGAGAGCATCTCACTGCAGGCAGGTGGGAGGAATCAAAGCGCTAAAGTTAAAAGGTTTTGCCACCTATATGAAATTAAATGAAAACAATGTTGCAGATCTCAGAGTACTGCTCGAAACCTTTTTCCTGTATCCAGTCTGCCACTACAGCGAGTAGGAAAAATAAATCGTTGCTCCCCTTAAATCAATATTTTTGATTAGTCCAATATATAGAGCACGACAAAGATAAAACATTCAAGCAAAGGACAAAAGGACTTTTTTTTTTATTTAAGTCTTGGGATGTTGCAACAAAGAAAACAATTGCTAAAGAGCAAGTGCAGAGGGCCACGTTGTTCCTGCTTATAGATTTTAAAAGCCAAACATATTTTATCATTCTGGGAAAAAGTAAAAAAAAAAAAAACAAGACACGGTTTGTACTGGTCTCTGTATGTCAAACTCTTTTCTTTGTGTTGCCACAAATAATAATGACACCATTATGAAATGTTAATTATCTCCAGCCACCTTTGAAATGTGAAAGGGAGTCAATGTTTTTTTGTTGTGTCTGTGTGAATTTGTCTGTAGTGTTAGCTAAATATTGCATGAACCACTGTATAGATTTTAATGAAACATTTAGAAAGCTATCAGTAGGTGTACCTCAATAACTAATTAACTTTTGGAGTTAACCCAATTCAAGATGGCTGTCACAGCCAACTGATCCTAGAAAGCACAAAAATAACTATAATTCTGTCAATTTTACAAATATTGAACTAAAATTTGAAATGGTTTCAGCTGAGAGTCAGTCACAACACATACTTCAAGTGGTAATCGTTTCACATGAATTTTACCTAAAACTTTGGCATTAACTTCTTTAACCAACCCTGTTTATCTGTTAGCAAAATATTGCATGAACCACCAGATGGATTTTAATTAATCTTTCAGAAATAAATCATTGGATGTAGATCTACAGCTGATTGACTTTAGGAGACAAAGCAATTCTGCCACAGCTAGTCGACATTAGTCAATGTAAAAATGGCAATAACTCAGTCAATTTTACAGAGACTGGGCTACAATTTGATGTGGTGGTAGCTGAGAGTAATAAATAACAAGTACTTCTAGCAATATTGCATAAAATTGAGCAAAGGATTATTTTCAAGGTTCGACCCGAATGACTGCAACTGTTATTTCTCAAAATGAGATGAACTTAGTTTAAAAGGCTGAGTTGAAAGATGGCGATCAATAAGACAGTCAAGCAAAGCTAGGCTCTTTAGTATTAATGGTTTTCATCATGGGGGAAACCTTTGGATTAGTGAGATCAGTAGATGAAAAGACACCATTCTGAAACTTTCCATGCTGGTTGTTTCCAGTTGGGAGTGACCCCCTGGGGTACCGATTAACTATAAATGGGTGTCAGACAGGAGCAGATGGCTCACAGCAGGAGTGTTTGACACTGTGGCACTCATGTACCACACCATATGTGAGCTCTGAACAACCACTTTTCAAGTTGAAGGTGAGAAATCCCTCCATAATCAAAATGGTTCACAGTTTTTTTTTAATATACAACTTTTTAATTACTAAGTTGAAATAAAGATAAGAGTTCTGAGCCTGGACAGACTTTGACTCAGTGCAGTGGAAAGTTTTCGGAGTTGAAGCAATACGATTCAGCTCAGTGAACTGAGCGAGTCATTTCTCATATTGACTATAAAATATATCGACCCGTCTTCACTTTCTCTCTCATCAGTGTAGAAATAATGGTTTCATTAAAAAATAGAAAATGTACTGACTTTCAAGGATGTTGTAGGCTACAACCGGAGTGTAAAATCTAGAGCTTTTTAGATTAAAGCTTAACTAAATGTTAACTGTATGAATCAGAGTTTTGTCTGTGTGTTTCTCTCTTACAGGTGTGCCAGCCAAGCGTAATGAGCTGTATTACGAGTGCTGTAAAGAGCCCTACCCTGATGTGACCTTCACAGTCACCATGCGCCGCAGGACGCTGTATTATGGACTGAATCTGCTTATTCCTTGTGTGCTGATCTCTGGTTTGGCCCTGCTTGTCTTCCTCCTACCTGCAGACTCTGGAGAAAAGATTTCCTTGGGTAAAAACACACATAAAATAACAAAAACATTGGTATAAATCAGCAGTAACATGATGAATAGTCACCAGCATCCACGAGCCGTCACTGTTACGTAGTTTATGTTTTAGGGATTTCCTGAGCTGCCATGAACACATCAAGCGCTGCCAGCTGACAAATGGTCATAGTCATGAGCGCTGACTTCATACATAAATGATTACAGGAACATTTTCATACACCATGGGACCCTGATCACATCATATGTGCTCATCTCTCTGCTCCTGTCTGAAGGCATCACTGTGCTGCTTTCGCTGACCGTCTTCATGCTTCTGGTAGCAGAGATCATGCCTGCCACATCAGACTCTGTGCCTCTTATTGGTGAGTTCTGGTTCCATGTCTGTTTGAAGGCATGCAACATTTTCATCCCTGTGATAAAGAACAGAAAGATTTTTGGAAGTTTGGATTTTTGAAGGGGGTTCTATAGAAAAGTGAATATGAATAACCAGTATCTTACCTGTTGTAGACAGTTATCTGAATTGAACTGACAAGCTAATGGCTAGGCCAAAGACTTGAAACAAGAACACTTGGGAAAATTAATTGAGCTGCAATTACACAATCTGGCAACAGTAAAATTAAAATGCTGGGAATCTAAGATGGAAATTGCAATTAGTAAACTAAATAAAGTTCTTGTAGTAAAAAAAAAAAAACCATACTTTGCAGGCTGAACTTTTTGTTTGAGGAGCTCAAGCTTTATACACCCGTCTTGGTATCAGACACATATATGAAGATGGGAAGCCACAACTAAAGCTGTCAGCTCTTTAAATGGGCTGTGAAATGTTTGATTCCTCACAGGTGAGCCAAAAGAGTAGACAGAGAAAGTCACAAATGGAAGAAGAATTTAGGATCATTTATCACTTGGAAAGCTAAATTCTCAAGAAGCATCTTCAGGGGCTTTGTGGAAAAATGGAGATTTTTTTTAGGATGATTACAAAAGAGCCTACCATGCCATACATATGTCTGCCAACACTACTCACCAGCCTCTTTATTATAGGTACACCTTGCTAGTACTGGATCAAAACCCCCTTTGCCTTCAGAACTGCTTTAATTCTTAGTTACATTAATTCAACAAGGTGTTAGAAATGATCATCCATAATGACATGATGACCATGCAGTTGTTGCAGAACTGTCAGGTGCACATTCTTGATGGAAATCTTGTTTTCCACCACATCTCAAAGGTGCTGGATTGGATTGAGATCTGGGGACTGTGCAGGCTGTTGGTGTCGAGTGAATCAAGACCCAGCAGTGTTACAGTATTTCTAATCTCTTATTGCCTTATGTTGGTGAGCCTAATTGTTGTAGCCTCAGTTTCTTGTTCCAAGCTGATAAGAGTGGCACCCAATGTGGTCTTGCTTCAAGGCTGGATGTGTGCTCAGAGCCTTCCTTTCACCTTGAAAAGTTCTGTAAACTCTGGAGATAGTTAAGAGTGTGAACATCCCAGAGCAGTAGTTTCTGAAATCCTCAGACCTCAGAGCAACAAACATGCCAGTCTAATCAGTGGATAGGAGTTAACATGAAAATGAAACAATGACTAAGTCATAAATTGCACGATGTAATATGTAACCAACACTTCAAAGCAAGGTTGATGGTTTATTTTTTTCTGTACTCAACAGCTCAGTACTTTGCCAGCACTATGATGATTGTGGGAATGTCTGTGGTGGTTACTGTCATCGTCCTACAGTTTCACCATCATGACCCTCATGGGGGCAAGATGCCCAAGTGGGTGAGTAACTGCCCCATACTTAATACCAGTGAAGGAACCTAGCATTCCTTGAAGAGTACTGTCCACCTTCTTGCATGCCCAAGTTTTAAAACAAAGATCTTGTGCAATCTACTAGCGCTCAGTGAACATATTGGGGATGACTCTGCTATACTCACACTAAATTTCAGCTTAATATATGCTGAATTGACTGAGTCTGAGCCAATAATATTTTTGCTAATGTCTATTAGCTCTAGCCACCATTGTTAGGTTGTATGCTTATCTAAGATAAAGCATTATAGATTTATAGTGACAATCTTTCTGTTTTCAGGTTCGAGTGGTTTTATTAAACTGGTGTGCCTGGTTTCTACGAATGAAACAACCTGGCGATGAGCGAAAGAGGCCTCGACACAAGTACCGCCACACCTCCCAGCATCACTCCAGCACCAGCTCCATAGAAATGGGCACACTGCCGAGCCTCAGCGTCCCTCTGTCGCAGGCATCCTGCCCAACAGGGACCTCCAATGGTTCCATGAGTCTCTACTTTGGCAGCTATCATCCGATGGAGAGCTCCCACTGCCCCCCATCGAGTGACTCTGGAGTCGCACTAGGTGGACGTGCCCACAGCTCGCTCAGCGATGAGTCCGAACCACCCGGGGGAGTCGCTAGCGGTGTTGGAGGTCTGGGAATGGGAGTGCTCATCCCCCCACCGGAGATCCAGCGCATTTTGGAGGAGGTGTCATACATCGCCCAGAGGTTCCGAGACCAGGACGAAGCGGAGGCCATCTGCAGCGAGTGGAAGTTCGCTGCAGCTGTGGTGGACCGCCTGTGTCTCGTGGCCTTCTCGCTCTTCTCCATCATTTGCACTTTCACCATCCTAATGTCTGCTCCCAACTTCATAGAGGCTGTTTCTAAGGATTTTACATAACTAGCTGCTGCTGGATCGAAGGAAGAAAGATGTAAATAATGAGAAATAAAAACAAACAAACTGAAATTATAAGAGAACTTGGACAGGAAAAGGGAAAGCACTGAGACTGAAGAGTGCACCCCATGTGTATATATTATAAACTAAATGTCCCCCACCTTCTCTGGTTGTTGAGAAGCCAGCAGGGCCTGGTTCACAGGAGCTGTCATGTTGTACTTTTGGGATTAGATTCTATGCACTAAAGTGGAGTTTTAAGTCCCGCCTACTTCCCAGCACACAACCATGGCTGTACCTGATGTTTCTTTTAAACATGAAATAACTATTACAGCTCGACTCAGAGCCTCCTTAACCTGCTGGTAGGCTCTCCGCCAACCTTATGAACCCCCCCACACACACACCCACCCCAACACACAATTTTACCTTAGTCTGCATAAACATTGATAATACCAACATATTACTATAAAAGTATTAATGGCAGAAAGCTAGTGTGGCATATAAAAAAATGCACTATTAAGTTATTTTCTACTGAACAAAGGACTACCTGTGATATATATATATATATATATATATATATATATATATATATATATATATATTTAAATATCACCCTTTTGAATTTAACAAAGTTGCATAATAGCAAAATCACCTTTTCATTGTTGACATTTAGGAGTTTTATCACTGAGTATCAACTTGTGCATTGTGAAGTTGCTATGTTCTAAATTATAATGTATGAACGTTCTTGTCATTAAAAGTACTTGAACATTAAAAAGCACACAAATGGTAATAATACAGGCTAACTAGGTAAACAAAATTAACTGAATCTATGTGAAAACTGTAATTTATATTTCAAATTTGATCATTAAATGCGTTACTTTTAACATTCATACATTCTGTTTCCAAATAAACAATTGAGCTCATCCAGATCCTGAAAAACCATGTTTTTAATGTTATAATACAGTGCAGGATTTGAAGTTACTTGTATTTATGATAATCATATACACCTAAAACTCACACTTTCACAGAGAGAAAGCAGGTTTTGGATAAAAACAAATCAAAAGGTAAACAAAGACGCAGCTTATATAGTTTTGTTCAAGCAAATATACCTCTTTTAGAGTTAATATTGTTTAATTCTGAGAACTAAAGCAGCAGAAACAGCTGAACAAGCCAAGACAGCAGGCTTCCTGTGGCAGCCGATCAAAATTACCTGTCCTATTTTCTACATGTGGCACACCTGTTGGTCGATGTTTATATACTTCAGCGGGCCGGGTCACTTTTAAGTTGGATCAATCAGCGGCCATAAACATGCATCTAAAGCGACTGACAGAAACCTGACAAGTCGTAAAGCAATGTCTTTCAGCTCATCGTGTGACCTCAAAATGATAGGACCCTGAACTGTAGGCCCCCTGGGCTTCAGCCCAGGTAAGCCCGTGCATTAAGGTGACCCAAGATAGACTTAGAAAAAAAAAGAATATTTGAATATACAGCAGTAATATGAGAACTATGCGAATTAACAAGCGTGAGCACCTGAAAAAAAACAAAGATTTAAGGTGTATTTTTTTTAAATGTAATGAAAAATTTTAAAAGTAATTTTCAGTTAATTTAGGCAGAAGGGGCGGGACTTAAAACTTGCACTGGAGGTGACAGGCAGTGAGGGTCGGTCCTGTTCTGGCTTCAACTTCCGTGTTCCTGTCGAATGTCTAGATATACTGTAAAATGTTATTTTCTTGAGAAAATTGGTGTATATAAACTGTGATATACAAAGTAGTTGTTACAAGAAGCTCAACATATCAGGAAACATTTACGGATATTGAAGTGGTCATAATCCTATTTGTAAAAGTTGGGACGCTGTGTGTGATCCAGAATCCAATCATTTGTAGATCATTTAAATCACGTGTTGAGCTATAGCACTAAAAATTTAAAAAAAGTATCACATAAATATATATTATTTTTATGATTTCTGTCCTTGTATTTTCTAACTGCCTTCATATCAGATTTAATGCCATCAGCACACAGTAAGTCTGGAAAGGAGCAACAAAAACAGGAAGTCGTGTCAAAAGAAACTGATCCGTGTTTTTGACTCTGTGTTAATAAAAGTCTATTTATTCTCTGTACACCAGACTCTGCATGAATCTCTAAAACTATGGGAGGAGAGATACAAATTTCAATCTTGTGTACACACAGCTGTACCAAAAGTACATTTATTTGTCGTGTAATTTGCAGAATTTTACCAAACTCAAATACAGGTTAAAATGTTAGTCTAGTTTTGAATAAATCTACTACAGACTGTACATGTAGCTAAACAGGTATTCATGTGTAAATTTAGCAAGTGTTCACCTTTAGCGGTACAATTAGTTTTCATCAGCTGTTATCACTTTGATTCAATCTGAATGCCACAACAGTTATGCCCAGGTGTTATCACCTTGTTAGAACAATACAAAGAAAACTTTACAAAAGTTAAAAAAAGCTGGTCCTTTGCTAAGCTGTCAGTCATGTGTAAGCACGGTTCTGATAGACTTTGTGTGGCAGGTGCCATGTTTTTTGCAATAAATGCTCAGGTTAAGTGGTTTAAATGATAAAAATATATATACAATGTATTTTATATGATCAGATTCTTTCAGTCCTGCTTCTTGACAACCAATACCTGCATTTAAACTCAGGCAGGTGATCATGTAGTTGCCTTTGTATTTGTCTATTTGTTCCAACAACAAATTAACTTTTGAAGACACCTCAAATTAAGGTGGCTGCCACAATCAAGTCAACTTGGAAAAAGACAAAAATGATTAAAAATATCTGGCTAAAATTTGGTGTGGTAGTAGCTGAGCATCGTTTCCAACACATATGGGCACCACTCACTGTGGTAAAACTCACCTGAAACTTTGGCATCAACTCTTCCATATTTGTCTGTTAACAAATCTACAGTTTTTAATAAACCTCAGAATGACTCAAAATAATTACAGAATTACATCTGTAATCAGCTGGAGTCAAAATGGCTGCCACAGCTAGCCAATCGTAGGAAAAAAACACGGCTATAACTCAGTCTTTACAGGCAATTGAGGAAAAATTTGGTATGAGAGTAGCTGAGAGTCGTTCGCAACACATGCTCTGAGGACTAACAGGTCGCACGAGATCTTTGTTCAGAACTTTGTCAAATAAACAGCAGGTGATATGCATTCATTTAAGGAATATTAACCCATTCATTAACTTCAAATATTTTGAAAGTCAGAACACATTTATTTGCATAGGAGTAGCAGATAATTGGTATTACTTTACATAATTATAAATCTTATGTCATAAACGTTGGTTGACTGTGTGGAAACTAATAAGAATAAGTGTCTCATTCTGCACCAGGACCATCCACGTCTGTTTGCAGATTCATATATAATTTCTGATTATGAATGTTTTTCCCAATGGTATTTATCTAATTATATAAATAAATAGCTTTTGAATCCAAAGCACAGGTCAAGAAAGCTCTAAAATATAAGAAAAAAGGCAGGATTTTATTAGAATTCATGAAAATGCCAGAGCACAAATTATCCAATATGACACTGACCTTTGCTGGCAGAAGTGCTGACCCAGCATTATTTCTTCATAGAACAGTGGGCGGGGTTTGTCATCCAGACGTTATTGCTTTTTTAACACAGAGATGCTGCATGCCACCTGGAGACACACCCACCTCTCCTGCATCTCATTCAGTCCTCTGAGGGTGGGGGTGTGAAGGAACAGCCCTACAGGGCGTCCTGACCAAAGATCCAAACAATGAGTTTTGCTTCCGTTCCACTTCCTCTTGTTCTCACTGTGATTCTGGTTGTGGTGTGTTTCTTTCAGATCTAAACTGGGCCTTGGTTATTGTCAAAAATATTGGAACCTGGTTGAAATGGGTCTTCAGTACATCCAGACTGCTTTAATACTTTAACTAGTCGAGGTAGGAAAAACACATTTGGCCCCATTATCAGAATCAGAATGCTTTTATTCTCCTTGCACAGTGAAGTACAACAAAACTACTTTCCGTACAGCCATCCTAAAGATGGACAAATGTGTACAGGGGGCTGCAGCTTCTAAGATGCGCTGCCCCCTGTTGCTTAGATAAGAAAAAGGGGAGAAAAACATAGAGGGAAGAATAAAAAAAAAAAGATCTCTCCCACCGTGTCCTTCACAGGGTATGGTTTGAGGTGTCAAAAAAATCTACCACAGCAAAGCAACATAAATAGACATAATACATATGTGTGTGAAGTGGGTAGGGGGTAGGGGTCCCAGCACAGCCGCCAGGTGAGCAACGCAGCCCTTGGCGCCTTCGCATCTCCTGGGTTGCTGTGCGAGGGGAGGCGAGGGAGGCCAGTGGAGGCATTAAGTTTGAGGGAAGGTCATAGCACAGCACAGTCCAGAGGACCCCCCCTCCCCCCACCACCACCACCAGCAGCCGTAGTCCTGATAAGAGGTGTTTGTTTATCAGCCAGCTCAGCTGAGCTCTGTCACAGATCCATGACCTTGAAGAAGGGAGGGGACAAAGCGTCTTTGTTTCCATAACATCCCAGGAGAAATTTGAGATAGTCCGCCTTCCAAGGCCAGGTCCAGATTCAGATATCAACAAAGTTTTTGGGTCAGGCTGAACTCATAAATTTCCGTGTCTGCCTTAGTCTCGCTAGTACATGCTGTCATGGCGACTCCAAACAGCCACATTTGATTGCTTACGCCAAGTCGAGCTTACAGCATCTTCAAGATTTATTCCTTCCAACCGTACATGGACACTGCCAGAAAGTTCTGCATTCCTGCTAAGGATCATCCTGCTCATACTTTATATGCTGCCTCGTCGACTACTGTTGACCTTTATGATCCTTTAACCTGACACTGTTTGTACTTTAATAATCTGTGAGTTTTATCACTTGTTGGAAAAAAAAAAAAAACATTTAGAGATTCAATTGCATGAAATTAAATGCCAAACCAGAAAGTATCATTCCTTGAAGGAAGTAATATTGTCTGCCAACTTGTGCGGCAAAGTTTTAAATACAAATGCTGAGTGATCTGTAAGCATTTTGTGTATGTGTTGGGATGACTCTCTGCTACTACTACGCTAAACTTAAGCTCAACATCTGTACAACTGAATGAGCTGTAGTCATTTTTATGTTTTCAAAGTTTAATCAGCTGTGGCAACCATTATGAATCAAACTGACTTCAAAATTTAATCACTTGTAGATGTGAAT